TTAAATCCTGAACTCTATAGTTTTACCTTAAGTTGATAGTTCACATTTTCTGTTCTTTGATTCGTTCCATGTTTCAAGAATTTGTCAGGGTTATTTCAACAGTTATCCAAGATTGCCCATGTAGTTTGAGTTTAATAGGATTCCTGAACTTATATGACCATTATTTGCAGCTTATATTGGCTTTACGTTTTGAAGAAATGTTTTGGAAATATTCCACTACTATTTATCAACAAGCAAACTTATTTTCGCCTGTGTCATTTGCGTGCCAATGTGAAAAATTATTATCTTTCTAAAGGTAAATTATGTGTGAACATTGGCACTCCGTTAGGAAGTAAAACGAAATCTTGGTAACAAGATTCTATCTCAAATTGTAAGTTAAGTAGATCACGAATCAAGAAGAAAATAGATGGAAACAGTTTATTTCTTTAGAAGTATAAGAGTAGGTTGGGATTACTTATCTACATAGACACCAGACGTGTTCAGGAATGACATTCATAAATTGGAATATAAGAATATCTCCAATATTTGACCACTTTTTACCAATTAATAAAAACCAGTATCAATAACGATATCAACATGAAATAATGGAAGTTCACAGAATTTTTTTATTTCGGTGTGCTAGTTAACGTGTAACAGTAAATAATCCCTCAGAACAAATAGCTTGTAAGTATTTGACAATGATATCTACCCTATTACTTTTGTAAATTGTCCTAAACTCTCAGCTAAATAGAATCACATGTAACACATTCTTCATTGTTTGTTGTGAGCTAGTTAAGGTTTGAAACCGAGTGAGAGATATGCTGTTAAATATTGGACAAAAATAAATGAAGCACACAGAATATCATCACGAGAGATTCATTTTCAAAGTGTGAATCACATGATTAAATTAAGAGTTTTGGATAAGTGTTTTCCATATTATTGCGTACATTCATTTCCCACAATACTAAGAGAAGGAATACATTAACGTCACTTTCATCTCATTGAAGCAATTCAAAGTACCATTGAACTGAGAGTTAGAGGTCAAGCCAGATATCTATGATATTTACTTCAATTCTCATGATGGGTTAAAGCTTCAGTGTATTGAATATCCAGCTAGCGTTATCACTACGCAGTAGTCTTGCTTATACTGAAAGAGACATGAAAATGTAAGACTTTCTTTAATCTTTTTCTCACTATTTCTATTCAACTGATCAGGCGAAATTCCTTACACGTCATTGTATCATATCATGCGGGACTAAAGATCTAATCTGTAATTACATACGTAGATATTTTAAACACCAGACAGACGCTTATGATATACAAAATAGCGTTTAAGAGGGTGTACACTCACTTGTTTATATTACTGTTACACTGATCATGACAATATAGTGAGGGTTGTTCGCAGTTTCAAACTCAATTTGCGGAAAATAGCCTACGCTTGTACTCAAATTGAGTCTCTTTCTCACCGTTCGATTATGGGATTTAATATAGATACGTTAAATGAACATAGCTGTACATCAATTCTGCAATTCAATATTTAACTAAACATGTGACTGTCAAATGCATTGATTAACTTGTGCTCAGTTGTGTGATTAATTCAAACGCCACATATGGGAATCTTCCCAATATTTCTTTGTCTATTTGTCTGTTTATATATCTTATTGTTGATCACCTACTGTTATTCTGTTTCTCCGTAAATAATTGAGATGCGTAGATTAGTTGGCATTTTGGACAGTTTGTATTCATTTCAAATACAATACAGATTAAACCAGTCTAATTCATTCCTGGATTTATTCCACTATAATACGATTCCTGGTGATTTTGACTGGTAGTGTCAGTATCAATCCAATTCAGTTAGAGAGGTCTAAATCTGGTGTTAACTTAATACCACTATTTTCCTAGTCCAGTTTTGTTCCTCCTAGCTAGTTGTTTCTTATTATTTATTACTACTATACATGTCAGTGAATTCAACTACTAAAATATTTACTCAAGAGCAAATATATTCTAGATCGTACTTCTTTCATTTATCCTCATTCACCAGTTTTGATGATAACGAATAGTACACCGTCTATTAAGAAACCTAAACGACTCCCTTTAGAGTAAAGATAAACGTTTCCTTCGATGTGACGAGATTAAAGTCCGTGTCGAGTTACATTTATCGACCTAGGCCAGGGCAAATGTGCACTGTGATTAAGAGTTTAAATTAGATACGTAGTTCTATATAAAATACACCTAATCAGACTTTTTTCGGCCTTGTGAACAATACTTAGGTGACCGAGTACAAGTCCAGAGGGATATCTAACTGAGACCATGATTTTCAACAAAGACAATGATAGAAATAACAACAAGCCGTCAGTTTGAAACAGTAGGAGGTTTTCAGTAGTGTTTAAGAGGGACACATATTATGAGTACCTCATGAAATGAGTATTTATTGAGAATGCAAAAATATTTAAGCTTGTGGCGGTAAATAAATCCCCAAAATAAATAGCTCTGTAAGTTTTCGACACTGGATGCTGACCACATTAGTTTTAATGGACCCACCTAACTGAAGGCGCTCGGTCATGAATCCGCACCAGATCACGAGTAGGAACGCCGTGCTCAACATCCCCTGCAACCACTAGCCAGATTAGATCGGACGATCCTCGATATATTAATAGCCTATCAAATATATCTTCGAACCTCCTCGCTTCTGCCTTTCGATTTCACTTGGTGGGTACGATTCATATTAGGTGTAACTGGTTAAAGCGTTGTCAAACTCCGAATACCTGTGGCATCTTCAAGCTTAAGCTCCACCAGAGCTAGCGTTTAGAAGTGAGTTAAAATACTATTTTTTTCTTCATTCTTTTTCTGTTATAAAACCATAGAGTAATATTACAGAGCCTTCGAAATATCATCGTGATTCAGCCAAGTAATTGTTAAAGCCGGACCGTCCGGATGTTAGGGATTGATCCCTGAACGTTGAATAGTCCACCATAATTCATGAAGATGAAGGATGACTAGCGAAGGTTGACAAGTCGAAAACATTGACTGCCAGTGAAGTAGCATAATCGAACTATTTTGTTTCTTCATTCTCTTTTACTAAATAAGTAATATTACCCCCATAAGCTTTTGTCGCTTTTTTAGGAGTGCTCGGGAAGCTAAATAGGCTGGCCACAAGGTTAGCTTGCATCAGGCTAGTTGGTTATTAAATCCCGACATTTCAATGATGGGTTACGTAGACTAGGCATTTATGTAGTGCGATTGGTCCCTAACCATATGATTCTCAAAGCTGAACATATAATTACTGAGAACGTCGATATTCAAAATGTATCACTTGAAGGTCAGTAATGGTGAACACGTGAACAATTTTGAAAATGGAATGGCCTAGTCTTGTCCCTATTCGCATTAAATATAAAATTCTATCTCCAGCTCAAGGACGTTCTTTAGAATAGTTAAATATTATATTGCTGGTGGATACGATGGGATGAATGAGGGTAGATTATGGTACGACTTCTACTTAAGATCTTATAGATTAGGTAGTTACATCGTGAAAATTCTACAACGTTAGGATTAGGTCTATTATTATAGTACCATTAATACAGAAATAGACCATAATTCTACGGTTACACTAATTTTGCTCATTTCAAATGAATGGGGACTATTGGTTGGACGAAAAATGATCTCATTACACTGGTCAAAGTGTAAAATTCACAGTTTTAGATAACTAAGCCAACAGATAAAGCACAAATAAAATTGTTTAATAGCAATACATAATAGTTCTAGTACAAGCTACATAGTTGTCAGCGAAGTGATTTTTCCCAGGGTTGAGAACATGTATTTTCTGGTCACCAGCTACACATGGACAATAAGGTTCAAAAAGCTGCCTTTTAGGTCTATTCAGATCTTCCATTTGAAGTTTTCCCAAAGTTTCAGGAAGGTTGGACATGTGTCGCGAAATCTCAGTCCACGATAAATAATCCAAAGAGAATTACGTTAACTAATTGCTCGTTCACTGTTCCTTTCTTGGTTTGCAAAGGTTATTTGGTACTATACAAGCAAACAAACATTTTAAGGAATTATCCTAAACGGGTTCTGAGGGTACACTCACGTTATCTTTACCAGCGTAAATACTGTTAGTCATTGTGATATTAAAAATAATCTCAGGTAGAATTAAGCAAACAGGCATATTTGGTCTCAGCTCATACATTTTTGTTCAATAGTGAACCGGAAGAAAGGCTAATTTTCATGTTTGAGATATGAAGATAAAGTCACACTACAGAAAATTAATACGCATAAAAGGGATCTAGTTTCAGTTGAGATTCAATATTTGAAAATGACAATAATGTACGGACATTGGATTTAATCAAGCTATTCACCTTTGCGGTTTACCCTTATGGGACATAAACCACCGACAGGCAATCAACGACCCACTCTGTCTTTCATTCTTCTTTCGAGATGTTTCCAGGTTCTAGTCATTCTTAACATCGATTGCTACAACTCCCAGAGCAATTTACTCTATGATCTGCCTCTTCTCCTCCAGCATTAAGGATTCGAATATACTGTACTTCTTGATATAAACAGAATCTTGCCTCTTCCTAACACCGGGCATTCAGTGGTAAGATATAGTGACAGGCACACCAATTACCCTCAAGTAACTGAAAACATCACAGCTATCGCCACTAAAAAGGACTTATATATCACTATATTACACCCTAGATACATCTCAACATGTTATTCTGAAAGTCAGAAAGCATACAACATCACAGGGCAGATACCTTGGCATTTGAAGCAAACCTGTGACATCAACTGATCGGTTCACGTTTTTACCTTCTACTTCCGTTATTCGTCACCCACTTGAGTGGTACAAACAGTAATTTTGGAATTCCTAAAGACTAAGCCTTATGTTTTGTCTTTACTTGCCTCGCATGATAATTTACGAAACATCTATCTCCATATCAAAGCTTTTCTCTGTGTATTAAAGTGTCTACCTAAAGGCCTAGTCTACAACAAACCAATTTTTACAATTTGAACATTGGATACTGAAAACGCGCGTTAATTTAAGTATTAACATGAGTAACTGTGATGAACACATTAAAAACCTGCGTGAACAATAGATTCTCCGTGCAACAAAATCTGTGCCGACTGCCATCATACTGTAACTAAATACGCCTCTTTATCTTATGGAGTTTTTCTTTGTGAACTATGTGGTGGTGAGTCTCATTGAATATAATTGGTGGTAATTTATCATTATTCTGTCTAGTTTCGCATCAAACACTGAATGGAAACATAAAACGGATTTCTACAGATGAAGAAAATAGTCTCATTTGGTCAGATGATAGTGTGTCGCGTCTGAAGAAGTTTGGAGGGAACAAAGCTATTAACCAAAATCTAGAAGCATCACTACCAGTGTATTTCCGTCGTCCATGGCCCGGTGTTGAATGTCCTATTTTTTTAAGAGAGGCGTTCATAAAATCAAAATATATTCACGAAGAGTTACGAGCGATGCTATAGGAAGAGGGGCTCAAAGTCAATTTGCGTGTTCTTTTAAGTCAGGCGTACTATTGAAAAAGTTGCGTGACTCACTACATTTTGTGAGCGCTTTTTTGAACTGTCCGTTGAAGGCAATTATTTCCGTTATTACATTAAACCTTCCGATTCACAACCTAAAACAATCACTGGATCTAGAAAGACTTAATTTTACATTCATCCCATCTAAGGATTATGGTCTCCCACCACATACTGCACTCATTCAGTTCGTTCAAGACTGCTCAACAAGACACATGTTTATACGATCCGAAGATAGTAGAACCATAATTAATTGGTACAATGCAATACGTTTAGGCAAGTATCACCGTCTATGCCTTGGTCTCAGTGGTATGGGTGTCACACTGTCACCAGCTGAACTGAGTAAAAGGCTAACTAGAGACGTAGATATGGCTGGTTGGCTCTCTAAAACGGGACCACGCAAGAACGATGCCTGGCGTCGCCGGTGGTGCATGATTTTGAATCGTCATTTCTTATATACCGATAACCCATTAAGCCCATTCGCCAAAGGAGAGTTATTTATTGGTTCCAACAAAGAAGGCTACTCTGTAACAAATACCACTCCCGATGGTTGGAACCGTCATAATGGGTACCCATTAACTATTCACACGTCAGCACGTCCTTTCGTATTTGTTGCTGACAAAAAAGAAGAACAGGAAAATGGTTAGAAATTATTCAAAAGATTATGAATATACCACTAACACTTGCAGAACACAAACAGGCAGCTATGGTGACTAAAAAGCGTACTAATGCGTTAGACTTCCTTAAAACTTCCTAAATTTCCCGGTGGTTCCTTGTTTGTTAGCATATTAATTAATTAGCTACCATCATGGAAAATTCTTTAAGTCGAATACAATATCCAAAATAGCCTATGTAAATAACCGCATGCATCCTACAAAAGCTTCAAATCCATTTTGTTTATGTACTGTTATGGCCTCGTTCAAAACCTCTTGCCTTCTTCACAGATTATCTATTCTGTTACGAAAGTTATATATGCATATCATCTCAAACATTTATAACATTAAATAACGTAGGATTTAAATGTCTGAATTGTTTATTAAATTAGAAAAACAGTTATTCTTCATTTTGGCACTTGTAAAATAGCTTATGGGATGGATTTCTTACTTGTTTTTTACATCTTCTATTTGCATTTTGTGTGATCTTAATTCTGTTTTCAAATTTAATTTATGTAACACTACTGGTAAATAAATTTCTTTTCTTCAAAACCAAAACAGTCATTTGTGGCTTATTTCTGCAAACAAGAGGTTTTTAACCCATAGACATGTATGACCCTCTTTACCAATTTAAAACTTAGAATCCGCGATCGAATGCGACGTTTTAGGGACTTACATAAACTATCATTTGGCTGACTTCTGGAAGATTTAAAATAATCTTTTTGTGAGTGAGGAATGGAAGACCAGGCTATCTAATCAAGTGTTTATGAGAACTGGAAGTGGGTTGTTGCCGATGTTTAAATTTTTATTATCAAAACAAAACCATATCACCGTGAGGAGCGCTAGTATCTGGAAACTCACAAATATTAATAATAGGGAATAAACGATAATTAAGAGGTTTTCTATAAGTATTATTGCAGGAAATAACCCATAGTTGTCAAGATACAACGGAATTATATTCATTTAACAACTAGATTATGTCGAACTAAAACCGGTCGGAAGCGAAAGTAATGACTAAAACTATAGTATATTATAATGTTGTTTTTTAACTTACAGTCCAGCAAATATATTTCTCTGAACATCTTGTAATAAAAAATCTCCAAAACGGTACGAGGCATAGAAGCAGACTTTAAGAATAAGCATATATCGAACCGCACAATTCAATTGTCGATGGCTGCTACATAACGTTTCCTCCAAGTTATACAAAACTGAGGGCTTTATATTTATTGGTACATTGCTTTAAAACTTTATACCGTTGTTGCTACCTTGACGTGGTGGTCTGGCTTGCCTATCGTGATGAACCAATCGAGCTATACTGGCTGTAACAATCGTTCTTCAAGGCCCAACCATGCCAGACAGGTCGGTTGAAGGGCGCTAAAACTAAAGGGTCCGAAGGCGAAGTCGTACTGCTGATTGTACAGAGGTGTGACGTCAGTAAGGTGTTTTTGCTTCAGACAACCAGCGTAGCAGGGATGCTGCCTTTGACAAGGAGGGGTGGAGTTAGAAAAGATCGACCCTAAAAATGCCCATCTTGCCTTATCCCACGGATATCCGTCTCCGGTAATAAGGTCTCAACAAGTACGGAGCTAACACGAAAACTTCCTACAAAAAGGTCGTGTGTGATTGGCTTCAAGCAGTTGTACCTTAGGCACTGCGATCACGATCTCAGGTCACTTATACCATCTTTAATCCAATTTTCTTTTTAGGTACCACCAGAAGAACCCTTCCACAGTGTGAGCAACTGGGAAGTGATAACCGCCCTCATACTTCTAACAGCACTCAAGAACATTTCTTTTGACCTTCACCCGCCACTTCCACCACTCTTTTTTAACAGAACAATAGTACGTGGATCATCTAGAAAATGTTCAGATAATTACATATCTCGGTATATGCATCATTTTCCTAATCTGATCTTTGAATTTGTCGTTTTTTCCAAGAGTGATGATGCTACTTCTTTACTTCGTACAAATCATATGTTACGTGTTTACATTACAGCCATACATTTGTAGTCCATTCAGGAGGAGACTACAAAAGACTTCTGAACTAGTCTTCTTTACTTAAGCAAAAGCACTCTGTCACTCGACGTAAAAGCCTTGTATTTCTGTATCAAAGTATGAAAATATTCTTCGAGATTACTTCTCTTAATTATATAAGTATTGTTTGCTTACATGGTTGACAAGCAAATAAGGCTGAAAAAGTGAAACGTTTGACTATGAAAATATGTACTTCGTCGCTAAATGAATAGCATTCTCCGAAAAAAATCAAAACTCGTCCCATTATTTTGAAGAAAAAGACATAACTTCTAATCGTATTTCTCTCTCAAGGATACTTAGAGAACCTCTCGATTTACAAAACAAATTGAATGAAAAACACAAGCGATTGTAAAAGTAAGATTTGTATAAATCAGCATAATTGGCGATAAATATGTACTTAAGATGGTATTGTAGATAATGACATGGTAAAAGATAACAATAACATTTAAATTTTTACATTTGGCCGTGTTCTGCCTCTCAACTCTTCAAAAAACTGTAAAGTCGATCCAAACCTAACTAACGACAAATAAGAAACAAGCCTCCAAGCAAATTTCTAAATTTTAACGGGACTTTGGAAGAAAAATGTTTGTCTCTCAACAGGTTAATTGCGTATTTCACTCAATTAAGGATAAAACGGCGACAATTAAGCCTTTGTGTTTTAAACAGGTAGTATTGTCAATCTCTGATACACTGATTTCAGCTAATAGTAACTGCTGATCATCAGCTGTGAAATCTCTCTTGTCTTCTAAGCTCTCGCTGAGAGCTTTTTTCTAGGAAAATGGCAGTTACCAACAATAAACAAACCTCTTGAAGCAAACTGCTGTTTTCATCAAGAATTCCGTCAGGATATCACATTTCAAATGCTAATCAAGAACACACAACCCAAAAGATATTTTGGGCTGGAGACTTATAAGGTATTGGAATTTTAATTGGGCCTAGTCGACAAATATTTAGTGCCAAACTAATAGGCTAAATAATCTAATACGGTGAACCATATTACACCATCAGTGAATATTGTAAATCTCTAAGTCATTAAGCAGAGAATACCTCACATAGGTGACTTATTGGCTACTAGCGGTAAACAAATCTTTTTTAGGGTGAACTACTGTCCTTAGTTTGAGAGGAGCAAGAGGCTGGCTGGTCTGTGTTCCAGCGATGGGGGTCTCTCAGTTTATCTAACGTTCATTTGAAGGCGTCGATAGATGGCCCTTCAACAACGTATTAAGGTATGGAGTTCCACTGATCGGTTATCGAATAAGAAAGTTGATAGTCAGCCGAAAAGTATTTGGTACTGGGCTCGTGAACTGTTTAGGAATGTCCTCATAAATTCTCTGTTTTTAAAGGCAAAAACTTTATCCATGAGAAAAATCTTGTAGTTTTGCTTATCAAGTTCTGTTTACCTTCACTAGAAGATTATTGCTCAGATTTCACAGCTGATAAGGCAAAATAATATACTTACCCCCAGAATGGTCACTTTGTGAGACCTTAAGTGAACAAATGTCCGGAAAAGTTGAAGGATGATGTTCATCTTATTAGGAACAAATATGTAGTTGTAAAACGATGGTTCCAGTTTGAAACAGCGCTCTTCATTTTATTATCCTATCTTTAGTTTAGTTAACTTACCACAGAGTAAGGAATTTAATAATTTTAACGTTTACCAATTACTGGGTAAGTAGCTAGTATAGAAATAATGATAAATATTAAAAGAGAATAAATATTTATTCATACAAATTTGAGAGTAGAGATAAAATTAAAGGACCAACATAACGTTAATAATTCCGGTATTGACAAAATGAAACTCAAATTCACCAATTCGAATGGTCAGCTTTGCTAAAAGTTCAAATTCAAATATGAGGTGTAAAAAATAAGAGTCCTAATCACTAAAGACTGTAATAATGTCCCAGTTTATTAGTTTTAAGTTAGACAGTAGGTAGCCAATAACGAATGTTTGATGTAATCCGTCAAAGTAGGTAGTAGCTGAGTGTGTGCAAACTGGTATCGACCAAATAACTAACCATTTTACCATATCTACGAGCTTCTATCCTCAGCATGAATAATGATTAAAAACATCTATGACAAATATAGACAACTAACTCCTGCAATTTGATTTCGAATATCATGCTTCTCTAACACAAAGTACTATAAGGTAGATTAAAGTGCAATGCACAATAAATTAGATAGAAAGATGGATATCACACCCTTGTCATAAGTGTTATAAGTTACTAAAACCCACTTGAAATTTATGTATCTGTGCCGTGCAAGTATGAACAAAATAAACATTCAATATCCTGGTATTTGAGTAATTTTTGATGATTTTCATGTCTTTGAAATAATCCATATCTGATTTTTTTGTTTTCAAGGTCCTACTCTTCTCAACTTCAGTGCTAGTTTTTATAGGGTGATTAAATTTTCTATGAGCGATAACCAATCCAGTTACATTTTCTACTTTAGTGTTACCACATGATTTCTGCTGAAATGTTGACATCAGTGTTCTGTTTTATTGTTTTAAATTTGTGTACTTAATTTTCTTAGTTTCTGATATATTCAACTATAGTCTACAAACTGAGACGATCAATAACCAAGATCATTTAGAATGAACAACTTGCAGATCCTTGATACTACCCAGTACGTTACAGAACTATCATTTCAAAATACCTCCATCCACCCAGCATTAAAGCACGGTGTACAAGATATAAAGTCACTTAGACTAATCGCCAAATTGCGAATTAATCAGTGGAATTCACTCGACACTAATGGCCACTACTCAATTATCAGTCAGTGTAAATATCTCAGTCCTCTTTGAAGTCATTCTCACCCCTAATAGTTCAACAACAAGTTCCATAACTGTGAAAGTGGACGAATTGAGTTCGATTGGTACAGTGAGTGAAGTCCCCTCAAGACTATATGAACGCTTTTTTAACAAGTGTTACCTTGTATGATACTTAAGTTCAAAATCTACTCCCTGATTACTCCTATCCATCTGATATTTTTATTTATTTCCAAGGACGAACTTCTATTACATCTCAAAAGTTTTTGTCTTCAGAAGATAATATAAACTGGGAGAATAATAGAAATCAAGTTGTACGGTATAATGTTTTGCGCTTCTCGACCTATTAACAGCCACGCATTTATTATAAGTATAAAGAAAAAATAACTTAAGCTTTACTATTTAGAGGAGCTTTCTAGCCATTTAGTCATAAACCTGGAGTTCTGGATTTGTAATTCCCAACCTCTGTCAACATGCAGGATATAAGAAACTGCAAACGTTAAGACTCTACTATTCATGTATATGATTATTTAAAAAACGTTCAATCGTAACAGATCATTTCTCATAATAATAAGAATCAATTAGGTAGTCTTGCTGTAAAATAATTGAAAGGTTTGGGAAATTAGCACATAAAAACTACATACTTTAAGGGTTTTGATTGCTCTGTGTTATGAAGAGTAAAATGTTATCAAATAAAATTATTTGAACCAGACTATTCTGACCACTTCTTCAAGAATACTCTTTATAG